TGGGGCAGTGAAAGGGCTGCTGAGGGACATTTCAGGCCAGAAGCATCTTTCAGTGCTGGCATCTTTTGTCTGGGAGCATTGGCTGGACGTGTTTGGGTTTTTGGTTTTTTGTTTTGGTTTGTTTTTTTTAAATATAACTATTTTTTTGAAAATATAACTAGAAAACTGGTGCCTCCTCAGACAGCCCCGTTGTATTTTCCTCTTTTCTTCCTGAAGACCTTATGGATCTGGAAAATTTCTCAAGTCTTCAGTTAATGGGGAGGAAGAGAAGAAGCAGATGAAGAAGGCATTGGGAGGAAGGGGTCACAGGGAAAGCATTTCAAGGGGTCAGAGGTGTGTGGAGAGCGTTTGTCAGGCAGTAGTGGCAGGGACTGGTGGTGAGCTGGTGTTGGGTGTTAAGACTTGGGAGTGTTTAAGGTCTGGGGCTCAAGGGGATGGGAGTTAGGTCAGAGCGGTCAGGTTTCTCAACAAAAAAAAAAAAAAACAAACACCAAACAAAAAACCAAACCCAAACCAGGAAATTACTGTTTATTCCTGCATGACCCTGATTATTCCTGCTCAGCAGGGAAGAACAGAAGTGTAGGTTAGTGCTGTGGAAGGATGGAAAGTTCTGCACTGAAGTTTTAATGTGAGAAAGCGTTTAAATAGGGGTTTGGGAGAGCTGGAAGTCTTTGGGGCTGGGATGGATGGGGCTTGCTTTGGGAGGTTAAAAGAAAAAGCAAATTCCTGGTTACTGCCTGCCATGAGACCCAGAGGTTTTATCTGTGGTTACTGCCTTCCTAACATGCCTCCTTTGCCTTTTCTTCCTGTTGTTTCCTTATTTCCTTTGCCTGTACACCGAGGTTCCAGCCTACCTCCCTTTTCTTGCCTCATTCCGGACACGAAGCTCAATTCCTAAACTTTTCCGGGGCTGGAGCCCATTATACGGAGAGTTTTATCGCTACATCTATGTCATTGTCAGGAATTAAGCTAATTGGAATAAAATGCCTTATTTTCCTATGCTGCCTAGGCATTTCAGCAAGTTATTTCTGTTGAAACCTTCTTTATTGCTAATTGATTGTGACATTAAGAAGTGTAATACATCAGCTTTTCTCTAATATGTGCTTCCACTTTTTTACATGTTAATGAGCATTTTTAACATATTTCTTCAGAGATAATTGGATTCTAAGACTCCCTGTGGTAATGCACTGAAAGCCAGCAAGCAATGCCTTTAATTTCTAAAAGACTCTTTCTGCATTTGAATAATTCCACAATTAAAATTAAGAATTAATCTCTTGGCTGAAACAAGGCATTTGAGGACACTTTTCTTGGTTTAGACAGTTTTAATACATGTTAACTATACTTACAGAGAAGTTAATTAAACCCTTCCTTGGCATTTGTAGCCCAGAACTCACAAAGGGGCGCATGTATCACAGATTATCTTGTTCCTCTTGCCCATTGACCCTCCTTCTGTAGGCAGGATTTTTTTGTCCTTCATTTGCTCATAACTTATCCAGCTGGCTGTTTTAAATCAAAACATAGAAGCTATCATTGAGTAAATTATTTTTTCTGAAGGTGCAAATGAACTCGCAAGTTTACTTAAACAGGAAAGGAAATGATGGTATGTAGCTAGCCAGTGTGTAGAAAGCATGAGTGAAATTTCGTATCTCATTTTAAGCACATTGTTAGCAATTAGAGACTAAGACGTGGAAATAGGGCAGAGAAGAAGGTGAGATAAGATTATGCCACATTTATTGCTAGGAAGAATTATTTCACCTCCCTCCGAGGGCTTTTCACTGTACCAAGGACGACCTCCGGTGGGGCAGCACGCTGTAGGGCAGTCCTTTATCCCAGATGTTTGGGAATGCTGTTAACTGACAGACGATCCAGACAAAATTAATTACACAGCTACTACTCGTTACCTCCAGCCCAGAAGACTCCAAGTCCTGTTTTTTATCTGTCATCAGAAAAC